GTGAGCTACGGGAGGCCTGATTTGTGCATCTGGCCAAGAAGGAAGCTGAAAATCGATGGAAGATTCATCCACCACCCTCCAGAAGCTTTGGAGAATTCGGATCGAAGCCCATTGACTGGACTCCCTTTGGAAAACCAGCCTTTGGCCTGATTCTGCACCTAGGAGCTGTTAGGGTGGAATGTATTATTTTGTTCTTTGGTTTTTCATGCATTTGATGGTTGAAAGAGTCATTACCCTTGGAAAGGTGAAGGGTATACCTTGTTGGGGTGGGGGTGGGGGGGAGAATAATCTACATCTCTAAAACAATCTTGCAAGTTTTTTTTTAGGGTGTGTGACCAAGATGTTGAATATTTGGAGGTCACTGGTAAGAGCTGAAGGGGGAGGCCAAGGGAGACATGGAAGGCAACCTCAATAGGAGGGATTCCATGTAATCCGCTTTCTGGAGAATCCACTGTCCCACACAGGGCTTCTGCACCCCGCACGATGGGATTGGGAGCCCCCCCCCCAATAATCAAATATTGCAGCCCTGCAAGTCGGAGGCAGAATCGAACCTGCAGAGGAGTTCCACTGCAATGGCAGCCAGGGCTAGAGGCTGTAAACCAGAAGCATCTTTTGGACCCACTGCAATCTTCCTTCTCCTTCTCCAAGTACAGTACCTCTCTTGGCTCTGTTGCCATCTCCCCCTCCCCACACACACACCCCACACACTCCCGCCAAGCAATCAACGCTCAGGCAATCCTGGCACAGACTGGAAACTCAGAGGAGAAAGCCTCCACCTTGGGAAGCCGCCCCGCGAACTGTGGAAAGTGGATACAGTTCTGGCTTATCTCTGCTTTGTTACGGGTCTGACGTGAGCCCACGTCCTGATCTCTCCCCCCTTCCTCCTCCCCCCTCTGCTTCCCCTCCCCCCAATATCACAGGCAGAATTTCATCGAAAAGTGTTACAGTATGACCGAGCTGGAGCTCTAGAGAACCGCGCTGCCCCAAAGAAACCCTCAGAGAGGAGCAACAACTTGGCTCTTGGAGGGGGGGAGAGAAAGGGGGTAGGGGGAGAGAAATAGAGAGGAGCGAGGAGGAGGAAAGAAGAGGCACCTCTAGTGAACGTGAGTATGCTCGTTCTCTCAGTCCTGGGGGGGGGGGGGGGGGA